CCCCAAAACCCCAAAACCCCAAAACCCCAAAACCCCTTAAACCAATGCTATTATTGAATATTTATTAATAACTTAGTTCCTTTCGCAACCTTCTTATTTACTGAGTATCAATCTTATTAAAGACAGTAATAGGAGCTTTAAACTGGTCAGCGTCAATAGGGTCATAATCTTTGAGGATATCCTTATTAAACAACTCATTCCTCGCTTCTTTCTCTGCCAAGGGAACTCCAGGGGAAATCTTAAAAACACTTTCTTTATCAAGGAAGCTAAATAAGTTTCCATCTAGTTCGTCATAATCAGGAGTCGATGATCGAGGAAGGTTCTTATCGATGTCAAACAGTCTTTTCTTGTTTACCTTGTTAAGTCTGTCTATGTTGTTGAAATCAGCATCTATCTGCTCATCAACGTCATTCTTGATTGTATAAACATCATGCTCATTAGGCACGTAATTCTCTGTGACAATATTTAATATCTTTTTGTTATCGCCAAGCATATCATCTACTCTCTGATGTTCAGGAAGCCGAAAATCTACCTTTTCAAGGTCAGGGAATACATGCTTATAAGGTTTTCTCTCTAAGTCCCCATTCTTAAGATTCCGTTCCCTAGCTTTCCAGTTTTTAAAAAGTATATCGTACATATAATTATGACGAATGTCTTCATCAAGCTGCTGGTTCTTCAATTTGACCTTTAAGTTATGCAATTCGTCAAGTGCATCTTTCCTTTCTAGGTCTTTTTCAGCGACTTCCTCTCTGACCCGTTGCATCTCAGTTTTGACCTTCTCATCTCGCTCGAGTAGCTTATGCTTTACCATTTCCATATGCTTTTTGACCATATCTGAGACTTTGGCAGGAACAGATTTAGGGACATCTTCTCTCTCAGATTCTTTCTCAATACCTGCCTTCTTGTCATACCATTCTTTGTAATCTTTGCCGAATTGTTCTTTAGGGTTGTTCTCTGGGTCTACTTGCCAAGGCAAGGGAGGTGGTGGGTAGTCCGGCCCATGTGACTGAGGCCTCCTCTTCTTTGGACCGTCAGACATCCACCATCCATACTGATCTGTTTGCTCTTTACTCCCAGCAAGAGCAGGAGGGCCTCCCATTTGGGTAAAATCAGGTGGTGGTCCATTTGGATCAACCGGACGGTTCTTTGAATATGTCTTTTGGGGTGATCGGTGGGAATCCTATAGATTAGAGAAAAGAATCATACTAGATCCATCTCTCTTTGAATCCTCCTTTCGTGGTACTCATCCCATTCCTCAGCTAAAATTGATTAGAACTTTTCTCAACATTTCTCGGTGAAAAGATAAATCTTAAAAGAATGATACTTCACAATAACAATTTAAGTTCTCGCAAGGCTAAAATCACATCTGAAGTATTATTGAGAATACAATATTTAAGAAATAGAAAATTTCGAAGAAAATTTTTCATATAATCTATGCAGCCAAAAATTAATAAAAAAATTGTTACCTTTCTTCTTCTCAGATGCATTCTGAAAATCCTTCTCGATCATTTGCCTTCTTAATTCTTCAGCATATGCTTTCTTCTGAAGAGTATTATCAGTCTTATAGGGCTTAGTGATTGACTTAAAATTGGGATCAGACCAATCACCTGCATTCATTCCCATAGCTTGAGCTCCAGAGCTAGGAGCACCTGCTACAGAGATCCCTGGGAAATTAGTTGTGCCAGGCCCAACGTTCGGTAATCCAGGAGGAGCAGGCAATCCAAAGTAATTCGTTGAGACTAGTGAGGAAGGATCTGGTACAAAATTCTGTAAGCCAGCTGTAGGCAGCATCAGGTTATTTGATACTCCTCCATTTGGTCCAATCATCTGTACACCGCCTAATGCTGGCATTATAACAGTTGAGTTGCTTCCTGGTAGTGCTCCTAGTCCAGGAAGAATCTATAAATTAATCAGATAACATATTATATTATGAATGCATACTAAGGAGAGTATAAAAAGGAATGTCAAGCCCCCAATCCATTAAATTTCAAACTTACAGGAACAGACTGGGAATTTCGCAAGGCTTGTTCTTGAGCAGGATTTTGTCCAATGAAATGATTATTATATGATGTCTGAAAATGTCCTCGATTGCTTCTTCTGCTACTAACATTTGGGTTACCAACAGGAGCATAAGAGATAGTATCAAGATGCATATTATCCTTAGTCCAGTTCTCAAATTTACTCTGACTTTCTCTTGCTTTCTTCATCTGTACCTGTTTGTCTAACTCATCTCGATACGTATTTTGGCGTACAGCATAGACATCTCCATGAGTAGACTTCTGGATTCCTCCCTGAATAATCCTGTTCCCGACCAAGTTAAGTTCAGCTTGGTTATAATGATTCAATTGGTTAAGGTCCATTTATCGAAATTTTCAATTATATATAAATTATAAGGGGTTTTGGGGTTTTGGGGTTTTGGGGTTTTGGGG